AACCTTGGAATTCAGGATATTCCAATATTTTTCTAGGGTAGAATCCGAAACTAATGATTGATTAAAAAATTAATATTTCTAAATGTCCATATCTCCAACTACCTACACCTTAGGTTCTGGCAAATGTCTGCCGGAAAACAACAACTTCCCCAGCTACTATCACGCTGAATATTGAATCTGACAAATATTTATGCAAGATACCTCACAGAGGTTATAATAATAATAATAAATGGGCTTTATTCATTGACATACATTGTTTATAAAGAAGTAAATACAAAAATCAATGAAAGAGCGAAGTTCAGCCGAGGCTGTTTTACAACTTAACCTGGGAGATAGCATGTTTTATATAGAAATATAAAAATAATTACCTAGTAGATATACATTGGTAAGTGAGTAGTTCATGAATCTTTGTGGAACTAAAAAAAAAAACAAAGGTTTTGAATTCCAAAGTAAATATTGAAAATCTATTTACCGTAAATAAAGTAAAATATATAGCAAAACATACACAAAGGTGAGACAAAGGGAAAACCATATGAGCAAGGCATAACATGAATATATTATCTATCCAGGTTAGTCCAGGTTAGTCTCACAAATGTTTCTCATCATTCAGCTGCATGTATGAAACCTTCGTATAAGAGAAAGACTGTTAACTAGTGACATACCCATCTCGTGAACAAAGCCTCAAGCAGACAAGAAACATCCCATGTACCAATACTCCAACAGAGATTAAACCATGTCGAGGTATTAGGTACCTCTTATCACTGCAGAAACCGGTCTGTAGGTAATCTACTAAAATGATTCCAGCATGGTCCTGGTGCTGGATGAAAAAGAAATATCTGCGAGACTTTCCTTTTACCACATCGTGGTAAAAGAATTTTTGTTTTTTTCGTGAAAACTCTCTCATTTCTCTTGAACCAATTCAAAAATCGCCGTTTTTTGTAATCTTCCATCTGAACATTCATAGTTTGAGAAACAAAATAAGTGAACTTGATTCCTTATTTCTGTCTCTTGAATATCCGGATGTAGTTTGTTTAGCAGAAACTTGGTGTCAAGAAAATGAAATACTAGCTCTCAATGTCAATTGTTATACCCTTTCTGATTATTTTTGCCGTAACGATAAAGTCGGTGGAGGGGTAGCTATCTTTGTTGACAATATTCACGATTATACAGTCTTACACACTACCGTCGAAAAATCTCAGGGTACGTTTGAATATGCTGCTGTCAAAATAACCGCTCACAACTCCAAAATCCGCGTAAACTGTTTTCACAGACCACCATCTTTCAATAGTCTGTCATTCATACATAATATGGAACTATTTCTCGATTTTCTTTTTGAAGAAAATGTTCAAACCTCTTGTATCGTTTGTGGTGATTTTAATTTCAACTTCCATAAGAATTTCACTGATGGCAATGCAAGTTATCTGCGTAATTTATTTGTCTCTTACGGATTGAATCGATGTTTTTTCGATTACACAAGAATACAGAGCAATAGCATGTCTACGGTGGACAATATTTTTTCCTCTACATCCAATATCTCTAATTCCACCGTCAGTTACATAGATTTCTCGGATCATGCACTCCAATATATAGTTTTACCAATCACCGCTTCTACTGTAAAGGTAACCAATTATTTTTTTAAAAGATCCTTTCTGTGATCAAAACATTCACTTTCTGAATGCTTTATTGGCTCGTGAGGATTGGCTATCTATATACTCCAGCAACGGTAATGCTAATGAAAAATTCTTTATTTTTTATGACCCATTTCTCAACCTATTCGATAAAGCCTTTCCTTAGGAATTACATCAAATCATTACACATAAAAAATCTAATAACAATGAACTTTGGATAACTGAGGAGATCGTTAATGAAGGAAAATTACTCGGAGATATTTTCCACATCAGTAAAATCCGATCTGATGAAATCATTAACAAACAATATAAATTATTTTTGAAACAGCATCGACAAAAGATAGAAACTTCACAGAAGTCTTACTTCGGCCACACATTTCTTGAAGCCACTAATAAATCTAAGGTTGCATAGACTATAATCAAACAGAATACCGCATGTGATAAAAAAAGCCAATTCTTGCCAAAATATGTTATTGATAAAAATGAATTATCTGCAAACGAGGGTGTTGATATCTCCCAAACATTCAGCGATTACTTCTTGAATTAGTCAGAGAAACATCAACTATTTTAGTAAATGACTCCAACTCACTGTTTTTATATCCTCTGGATGGAACAAAACTACTCGAGATAGTGAAGTCGATATCTTCTAAGACTTCCAGTGACGTGGATGAAGTACCTTGCAACCTCTTGTTCAAGGTGGGTGAAAATTTAATCGAACCCCTCTTATATCTCCTCAGTCGAAGGTATATTCCCTACTCGACTCAAACATGCAATAATAGTGTCTATCCATAAGAAAAATGACAAGCACTCGGTTTATAATTACAGAGGAATTGCGTTACTATCTGCATTTTCCAAAATATCTCAGACTGTCAATATGGCTTCCAAATTGGCAAGTCCACTCAGGATGCTCTAGGAATTCGTGGCCCATCTCTGAATTGGTTGAGATCTTATCTGGATTGCAGAACGCAAACTGTGAGGGTTAAACTGAAGTCTGGGACCTTCCATGCTAGAACCTGTGTCGTTCCCACTGGTGTTCCCCAGGGTAGCGTCCTAGGACCTATTCTCTTTCTTTATTCGTACATGACCTCAACAATAGTAATCGTCATCATTGTATAGTGCAATTTGCCAACGATTCTTCGTTCACTCTGAAGTCTTCAGATTATGAGGGATTGTCGAGTCAGCCCAATCAAGCAGTTGCTAATATGCAAAAATATTGTTCTCGAAATGGTCTCATTCTGAACAGCTCTAAAACTAATACAATCGTTTTTTCACTACATGAGAATGATCACAGTATTCTGGTCAGAATTAATGGCAAGTCAATACAACAAACCTCATCAGTAAAATTTTTAGGTTTGAACATTGATGCTCGACTCTCTTGGAACAAGCACATTGATTATATTTTGAGTGAAATGTCGAAACATTGTTTTGTAATTCGTAATCTCCGTAATGTTGTCCATTGAATATATTGAAGAGCAATTACTATGCTTTTATTCAATCTTTGTTCAGTTATTGTCTGATCAACTTTGGTAACTGTACAAGAATAATCGAATTACTACTAGTTCAAAAAAAGATAGTGAGAACAATGTGTTTCAAAAATTATGATGACTCATTTAGGGAACTGTTCACCTATTTGGATATTCTTACTATTATTTCACTATATATATTCAACTGTGTTGTTTATGTCAAAACTTATCTCGACAAATTTGAATCGAAAGATAATATTCGGCTCGCCACAGGATATACCTTAAGATCTAATTATAATTTTATTGTTCCCCACCATAAATTGACGAAAGCAGCAAATGGCCCTCTAATTATGCACATCAAGTTATACAACAAACTAGCTATCTCTCTTGAACAGCTATCAAACCTGCATTCCTTCAAGAAAAATGTTAAAAAACTGTTATCATATCTGATCATATTTGATTATCTGCGAGCGCTTTCGACAGCTGGTCGTGCTGTCATCTTCTAGGCACTCTTCTATCTGAACGTGTTATCCTGTTGTGTGTCTTTTTATACGGTCCGAACGCCTCAATACAGGTACTTCTGTTGCTTTAGGTAAATTTGCCTGTATTTGGATTACATCAGGTACTATTCTTTGTGTTGAATCTTCT